CCCAGCTAATTTTTTGTAGTTTTAGTAGAGACGGGGTTTCACCATGTTGACCAGGATGGTCTTGATCTCTTGACCTTGTGATCCACCCACCTCGGCCTCCCAAAGTGCTGGGATTACAGGCGTGAGCCACCGCGCCCGGCACGTGTGTCTCTCTTAAAACTTCCTCTGCCATTCTCTTTTAGGGGCACCTGTGACTGTATTTAGGTCCCACACAGATAATCCAGGATAAACCCTTCCTCACAAGATCCTTAAGTTAATCACATCTTTTGTCATAGATAACAGTCACAGATTCCAGGGGTTTCATGTGTATATCTTTTAGAGGCCCATTTGTCAGCGTCAGCGTACCGCAAGACCCATCTTTTGTAGTTGGATTCAGAGCCCCAGACAATATTACCAGGCCCTTCCTTACTTCCTATCACACCTGTCCAGTCTGCAAAGTCACAGCAAGCCAGATGGAACTTGAAATAGAGAATGCCATGACATAGGCCTGGCTGTAGGAAAACCTAGCTAACCCGAGACTCGCCAGGCTGATGGCCACTTGTGGGAGAGCTGTTGCATGGAAGGCCTGGCCTAGGCTGACCCTCGGCTGCTGCTCCTGTTGGCAGATCTGGTGAAACTTGTCTCCAAAAAAGACCTAGTGCTCAGGCTGACTGGGATGCCAACAGAGGCAGGAGGGCTGTTTCAACCCCATTCCCCAGGTAGTGTAGAAACTGGGCTTTATTTTTCATGGCCCCTGTCCAGGCATCTCCATTCAGAGCAGGACATCAGAGAGTCTGGCTGCAGCCAGGGCTAGCAGGGAAGGCCAGGATTCCACAGGCCTGTGCTTGGCAGGGCCCTCAGGGCCAGCACTGTGCTTGGCAGGGAGCCAGGAAGACAGGGCACTTCAGCTGGGCAACAGCAGGACAGACGCTGTGCCTTATGGTGGGAGAGGCAGTCAGGGAGCAGCCAGCCAGAGCCAGCCCCTGGGGAAGCCAGAGCAGGAGCTGAGGGCAGCAGCTGTGTCTGCCTCCTCCCCACCCTGGGGCTTCACAACAAGGCTTCCCTCCCTTCTGCTGGTCACTTCCTGGGAGAACCAGGCATGAGATCAGGGAGGGGAGAGAGACTCAAGGGGTATGGAAGGATGGTGGTGGGGGTGGCTTGGGGGCAGGTAAACAGAGGATGAGGGGTAGGCAGGGGGAAGGGCTGTCCCTCTGCGCCTGGAGGTCATTGGGCAGACAGCCTCTAAATCCTATCACGGCCTCAGAAGCAGCTGTGCTCCTCCTCCACCCCCACGTCCCCTCTCTGTCCTCCCCCCAGGCTGCCTCACCCTCTGCTGGCCTGCTTTGGGTGGGTGCTGCTGGGCCACTGCTTTGCTGAGTGTCCCTCTGTATCTGGGCACTTATGGTGCAGCCATCTCTCACGTGGTCTCTCACTGTCTCTGCGTTGTCATCCGTGCCCAAGGTCCCTCACACTCAGCCTGTGTCCCTCAGATGTCTGTGTGAACCTCCATCTCAGAAGTCTGAGGTCTGCAACCCTCCGCAGGCTCTTTCCATGGTGGGCCCTGAACAAGCAGTGTGACAGTCAGTGGGGAGGTGTGCAGGGGTCTTCATGCCTTGCAGCTGGGTGATGCTTTCCTCAGCCCAAAGCCCCTTCTGTGTGTTGGAAGGTGTGACAGTAGGGATCTGCAGAGCAGCCATAGTATATTTTCAGGTCCAGGGTTTAGTCTGGTGCCAACACCATTGGCAAGAGCAGGTTGCAAAGATTCAGCTCAGGATCCATTGCCTTTGGCCTGTGCCTCACTCCTTTAGGGGCTCTTTTCTTCAGACGCTTTAGGGGTAGTCCCCTCCCGCTTCTCCCAAAGCAGCGAGAGAACAACTTTCTGCCATCACAGATGGAAGCCGTGCCTGCTCTTGCATGTCTCGCTTTGTAAGGTGATTGTGCCTGGAATTCTGCATGACAAATACCTGGAGGTGCTATCAGGCTGCAGATACTGCTACCCCAGATATTCATGGTTCCATTAGTTAGGAAAATGAGGAAAATGGATACTGGATAGGCAAGTGCAGTCTGCCTCAACTTCTGCAGTGAACAAAGAATAGCCGGACATGGTGGCTCATGCCTGAAATCCTAGGACTTTGGGAGGCTGAGGCGGGTGGATCAGGGGGTCAAGAGCTCAAGACCATCCTGGCCAACATGGTAAAACCCTGTCTCTACTAAAAATACAAAAATTAGCTAGGCACGGCAGTGTGCGCCTGTAGTCTCAGCAACTCAGGACACTGAGGCAAGAGAATCGCTTGAACTGGGGAGGTGGAGGTTGCAGTGAGTCAAGATTGCGCCACTGCACTCCCGCCTGGAGACAGAGTGAGGCTCCGTCTCAAAAAAAAAAAGAATAAAAGTCCAAACAATTCCCTACCAATTCAACAAAAGACAACAAAAGTGAAAATGAAAAAAAAAAATTGACAGCTGGAAATTATGAAGCAATACAGCAATAAGTCAAAAGATAGTAGAAATAAAAATAACATGAATTTGTAGTAGTGTCTATCAAGATACAGATACTTTCTTGCTGGATCAAAAGAGAAACATGTAGTTTGTGAAAAGAAGATGGGAAGTTGAAAATAAAGCAGTGGGTGAGGATATAGCATGGAGGGACTCCTGCTTCTAGTAATGATGTGCTAAGGAGCTGGAATGGTCCTTTTGCTGAAAAGCTGATCAAAATACATTTTAAGTTTCTGCTTGAAGAAATTGAAAAGAAACAATACAGTAAAAAAAAAAAAAATCACAGGGCTGTGATCCAAAGAAAGATACTCAGAGATGCAAATTCGGCCGGTGCGTATCGTCTAATCGCTTCATCAAAACACACTTTCTGCACCTTCCCTGTCCCACAGGTTCCTCTCACCACTTACCCTGTCCTCCACCTAGCGCTTGTCCTTCCCATGCCCATTGTCCTGCCATCTTCACCCTGATATCCACCCCAGCCTTAACTGGCCTCCTCCTCTTCCCTACATTCCCTCCAGAGCCCGCTGCGGCCTCCCCAGTACTCACCGTAAACATTCCAAATGTACTCCTCAGTGACCCCTGGGCAGAAACTCTGAGGGGGACCAGGGCCTGATGCTGACGCCTCAACCCGTGGCCAGAGGACCTTCTGCTGAGCATTGACCTGAGGCACCAGGTGGCTTTTCAGTGGTCGGGATCAGGCAGAGATGGTGCCTGCTTCTGCAGTGGTTGTCCTGACTCATTCTCTGACTGTGACAGGAGAGCAGTCAAAGATATTTGTACCCTAGCTGGGGCCTCAAGGGTATCCTTCTCTGTGTGTGTCCTGCTCTCTCAGGAGGCTGATAACTGGGTGCCCTGCAGGTAGGACAGACACAGGGGATTCAGCCACAGTGAGGGAGCGTGTCCTGTCCCTACAGTTCTACTGGACTCACCAAAGATAATCGTTGATATATTTTGTTTGCATAGGTGTTCCTAATTCACTTGTTTTCATAGTGCTTTTATAACATGGTTGTAAATATTTGTCCATCAACTCAATTTGTTTCACTTGTACTCCATATCAGTACCGAGGGAACAAAGTTCGTCTTTGTGGTTTCATTAGGTGCTTTGTTTGATGAATTTTCCGAATTCCATATTCCTTGGCAACCACCACCCAAAACAAGATATAACACATTTCTCTTTGTTTCCCTGTGCTGTTTGCAGGCAAACCCTCTATATCCCTACCTTAGATATAGGGTAGGGATTCATTTGATTTATTTTCTATTTTACCTGTCAGTTTTGCCTGTTTTAGAATTTTCTGTAATGGAAGAACCCGTAGGTAGTCTAGCTTCTATCATTTAGCATCAAGTTTCTGAGAGTCATCTATGTTATTCCATGTATAAATGTATTCATTTTTGTTATTATTACACCATTATACTAACATATCATGAAATTTTTCTCTAGTCACCTGTTGATGGACATTTGGTTTGTTTCTGGTTCTGAGCTATTTGAATAAAGCTGCTATGAATATCCATGCACATGCATTTGTAAAATGTGTTTTCATTTTTCGTTTGCAAATTTTAAGACTGAAACTACTGAGTTATAAGGGTGGGTACACTTTGAATTTCATTAGGAAGTGCCAAACCATTTTCCAAAGTGGTTCTGCTGTTTCACACCTTTTATCAACAGTGTATAAGAGATCTACCTATTCTGTATCTCTGCCAGGATTTAGCACTGTCAGATTTCTTTTTTTTTTTTTTTTTTTTTTAGACGGAGTTACGCTCTTGTTACCCAGGCTGGAGTGCAATGGCGCGATCTCGGCTCACCGCAACCTCCGTCTCCTGGGTTCAAGCAATTCTCCTGCCTCAGCCTCCCGAGTAGCTGGGACTACAGGCGTGCGCCACCATGCCCAGCTAATTTTTGTATTTTTAGTAGAGACGGGGTTTCACCATGTTGACCGGGATGGTCTCGATCTCTTGACCTCGTGATCCACCCGCCTCGGCCTCCCAAAGTGCTGGGATTACAGGCTTGAGCCACCGCGCCCGGCGCACTGTCAGATTTCTTATGTTAGTCATTCTCTTAGGGTGTCTAGATGTATCTCATTTTGGTTCTCATTTTTATTTCCCTCATGACTAATGATGTTTGGGCATCTTTTCATGTGCTTCTCAGCTATTCCTAAATCTCCTTTTCTCAAGCACCTGTTTGAGAATTTTGCTGCTAATTCATTCTTCCTCATCCTTATACAACTGTTCGTTGAACTGAAATCTGTGTCACTGAATTTTGTATTTGATGGAGGTTTAGGTTGTTTCAATTTTTGTTTTTATCAACTACACTGAAATCACTAACTAGATACATCTTTGTGCTAATGAGCCAGTATTTCCAGTGGCTTGCTTTTGTAGGCAAATTGTGGCCATGTCTGCAAAAAAGAATGGACAAGAGTTCCACATATTCACTGGAAAAGACTCAGCTGTTGGAAGCCATTCTGATGCCAGAGTCATAGGTGCCCTTATGACATCACACTCTCTCCTTCACACTTCCTGCCACGGTGGTGGCTAGAGAAGTATAGATCTGGGTATGATGGAGACATCTAGCCTCTAATCATGGGCACTTAAGGGGATTGCAGACTTGAAGGGGTTGAACCAACTACCCGCAAGTCATGGGCATCCGATGTTGTGTAAGAAATAGATGCAGGCAGGGGGAGGTGAATTCCCACAGTTAATCAGGATGCAAGCCCTTTGTCTAGGGTCTCTGGGAAAGACAAGAGGTTAAGGATGTGGTGAACTTGGCTGAAAACTGGATATCCGGCAGACAGGCAGCCACAGTGAGGGTGTGTGCCCTGAGTTCTACAAATAACTACCTACCTACACCTCTCCTCTTTAAAATCTGATTACAGAAAGATGGCCATTTTTGCCAAATCGTAATCGAAGATGTTGATGAGACCACATTGTTCAAACACAGGGAGCTGGAGAAGAAGCGTCGTCCTCCAAAACCAAAGGTAAGCCAGAGAAAGCCCTCGAGGTTGGAAGACACCCCGCACCTGCAGCATCTCTGACACGTGCCACCCAGTAGTGGTGGTGGTTGTCTTCTCTGTGGCTCACAGAATTGGTTAATCACGAAATTTCTTGTCCAAACTAGGAAACATTTGTGAGTGAAAGGTGTTGCTATTAATCCTTACTCAGGAACAACCGCCGTAAGCCAGGAATTTCCCAGGCCAACAAGGACATAGTCGTCGTATTCAGAGCTGCAATAAATAGAGATGGACTCATCCTGGGCTATCTTCTTCCATTTCCTTACGAGTCTGGGAAGGGTGGGTGACTGAGGCATGGAGACTTGGATGTAGCAAAGAGAAACCCTGAGAAGTGGAAAGCAGACATTCAACATTGGAGTGTGGCATGGTGACGGCTATGTTTGGGGAATGTACAGCCACATAAAGGGAAACCCAAGACTCGAATTGGGTGGGATGTGGGGGAGTGTGCACATGAGTCCACTTATGTATAGGTAAGCTGAAGTTTAAAAGAAGTTTTAACGAGAAAAGAATGTGTTAAAATAAGTGAAAGTAAGAAGCAGGTGAAAAAGACTCCAAACTGTGTGGAGGAGGGAGACTTTGACTACTATGATGTGACAGCCGGAAACAGCAGGTTGTGGATTTGACCTGGGGTCAGAAATAAGAGGGCAGAGCCAGCCAAGGACACCACCTCTCTGGCAGGTGGGAGAGGTCTGAAGAGGTGGGTCACGGATCTCAGTAGCTGGAAGGCCCAGGTGAAATGTGTTAACCCTCTGACCCTACATCACAATGTCCTTGCTTTAGACTGGCCAAGAAGGTTTACAAAAAACTGGGTGAGGTAGCTAGGGCAGGTGTATCCCCATTTTGCAGATGGGGACACTGAGGCTCAGAGGTGAAGGTGAGGTGACCATGTCCATTGACCTGTGGGTAGCAGAGGTGGGACACCTACCTGGTCTCCTGGGTTAGGTGTTGCCCCGCCCAGTACACCTGAACTTTAGAGGAAAGGGCTGTTGTGGAGCACTGGGCCACTTCCTCTCACCTCCTGGGGCTGATGTTTGTGAGGAAAATGTCCTGACTGTTCTTTCTTTTCTTGCAGTCTCACCTCCTTCTACAAATGAAGCCACCCGTTGACAAGGTACTGGCGGCAAAAAAGATCCAGGCCTGGTGGCGGGGCACGCTGGTGCGACGCACACTACTGCACGCGGCCCTCAGAGCTTTGATCATCCAGTGCTGGTGGAGGCAGGTGCTGGCGAAGCTGCTGGCGAAGAAGCGGCGGGCCGCGCTGGAGCTCTGCGCACGGCAGCAATGGGCAGCAGTCAGGCTGCAGTCCTGGGTCCGCATGTGGCGTGTCCGTCGGCGTTACTGTCGTTTGCTCAACGCTGTCCGCATCATCCAGGTCTATTGGCGCTGGCGAAGTTGCCATACCCGTGGCTTTTTCCACGGCAGCTACGAGCTGGCAACAAGCCAGCTGAACCTTGAGCTTGACATCTTCCTGGGATCACAGATTTGCCGAATTACGGACTGCATCCCCTTCCCAATAAAGAACTGACCAGATCTGCTCCAACTACGTATCCCTAGGTCTCTATTCTAAAAACTTCCACGAGTATTTGTCTCAGCAAAGGGTCAGGGAAATGAGGACAGGCACCTGGCATCTCAAAGGTCAGCTCTGAGGAGTCAGCGGGCTTGTCTGGGGTCCTGTGGGGAGAAGGATGTGGCAGCCCCATGCTGGAGGAGCTGGGCTTGTGACAGATTAGCAGCCAGCCATAGGTGAGGGGGTTGGGGTTGGGGTTGCAGGGCCACCAAGAAGGCCAGCTCCAGGGAGACAGGTTCATGCCATGGTGTGTGTAACGGCGACCCCTGTGCCCATGCAGTATGGAGGCCTGTGCCATCCTTTGCTCTTAATCCTGCAGTGTCTTCTCATTCCGTTTAGAATGAGTTCAAAAGCCCTTCCCGGAGTATACGTAACCCTGCATGTGCTGGTCCTTGCCATCTCACCCTCTCTATGTCCTCCCTGGCTGCTCTGCTGCTTAGCAACTATCCCAAGTGTCTTCCCATCTGGGGAGTTTGCTCTGCTGCCTGCTCTCCTAGGGCCATCGGCTTCCAGATGGAGCTCCCACTCCATGCTGGTTTGTCTCTGTGAGAAGGTGCCCTCCCCAGCTCCTCAGCCTGCCTTCCTGTTTTCAGAGTCCTCACCCCTACCTGAGGTTGTCTTACCTGATTATTTACTTATTTTCTTTTCCCTTCTAGCGGGTGAGCTCCAGGAAAGCAGGACTCTGGTCAGAGCTGCGTTTAGTACCTAGAACAGGGCCTGGCACACAGTGACTCTCTATTTATATGTATATGGACAGGTCGAGCCTCTCTTATCTGAAATGATTGCATTTGAAGTGTTTCAGGTTTTTTATTTTTGGGGATTTTGGAATATTTGCATTGTACGTACTGGTGCTGCATCCCTAATCTGAGAATCTGAACTCAAATGCTCCAGTGAGCACATCCTTTGAACGTCATGTCAGCACTCAGTGAACTTTGGATTTTGCAGCATTTGAGGTTTGAATTTTCAGATGTAGGGTTATTCAAACTGTACATAGATCTAAACAGATGTGCAGTCTACCCAACCCAGAGCCAGAGCTCCTGAGTCTGGCCCTCACATTCCAGGAGGCAACATTCTCTTGCCTTCATTATCCCTGTGCAGGTAACAGGCAATTATGGACTATCTCTATCATTTAGAACTCAACAGATTATTCAAACTCTCCAGTCCTAAGCTCTTTATTTTTTTAAAAAAGTTAATTTTAAGTTCTGAGACACATGTGCATGATGTGCAGATTTGTTACATAGGTAAACATGTGCCGTGGTGGTTTGCTGCACCTTTCAACCCATCACCCAGTTATAAGCCCAGCATGCATTAGTTATTTATTCTGCTGCTCTCTCTGTCTCCGCTGCCCTTCCTCACAGCCTCCGTGTGTGTCGTTCCCCTCCCTGTGTCCATGTGTTCTCATTGTTCAGCTCCCACTTATAAATGAAAACTTGTGGTGTTTGGTTTTCTGTTCCTGCGTTAGTTTACTGAGGATGACGGCTTCCAGCTCCATCCATGTCCCTGCAAAGAACATGACGTCATTTCTTCTTATGGCTGCATAGTATTCCATGGCATTTACGTACTGCATTATCTTTATCCAGTCTATCATTGATGAGCACCAATGCCCTTTTCTCAGCTCATGGGAACACGCATTTTTTTCGTAAAGATAAGTGTTGCCTGATTCTAGAATCACAAATAAAAACCAATTACATATTTAAATTTGTTGCAATTTTGTTGTTTGATGGTTTCTGGCAACCTCTGAAAGGACTGAGAGAGGACTGCTAATGACCCCGAGATGCCTGCGGAACACAGGGGAGGCACTGCTGAAGCTGTCTGAGGTCCCCTGTCTTCCTCATGGAGCCCCAAGGGTTGTAAGTAAAGTTCCTCTTGGGTTCCGACTCTGCTGTCTTTGCAGTGAGCCCCCACCCATGTTCTTTTTGTCTTTTAATTCAGGGTTGCTTTGTGCTGGGAGGGAGTGCATGACTTTGGGATGTCAAGGTTTATTATTAAAAATAATTTGGAAAATAGTTTGTGCCGTGAGAGGGTACATGACCTCCCTGGGATTTTAGAGGTAATTGAAGTTGGTTGCGGTAATTGGCTGTTACTGCATAAGGAATATAACTCTGGCTTTTAGAATTTGCAAAGATTTGGGTTTTCTCCTGTTTCTCTTTTTTTTTTTTTTTTGTTTCCTTGCCTGCTAAAGTAAGGGAAGTTGGTTATGGGGATCTCAGACCCAAGGACAACTTGACTGATGAGCATGAGTCAGGCATCTAAAAGCTGGTAAGTGTGTCCCAACACCTCAAAAGTCTTCCGAGGAAGAATAAGCCGGGTCATGAAACATGTTATTTTGACATTTGGTCATGCGCCAGCCTCAATAAATTTTCTGTGCAATGAGGAACACTTTAGAAGCATCTCATGACCCAACCTCATGGTGTTCACCTCTTAGACTTTTATTTCATCTCTGAGACCCAAGATTTCAAGTAAAAATGAGATCCTTAACTTCTAAAGAACTGAGTACTCCACATTTTGGCTCCACCTGCCTTTTACATTTAAGTGTTGTGGCTCCAGAAGCTGCAGATCAGCCATGTGTTACATAATATTTTGGTCAGTGATGGATTGTAGATATGATTGCAGTCCCTTAAAATTATAATGGAGCTGAAAAGTTCCTATTGCATGGTGATATGGCCAATGTATGGCTCATGTGTTTGTGCTGATGCTGGTGTAAACCTACTGCGCTGCCCGTTGTATGAAAGTGTAGCACATACAGTTATGAGCAGTACATAGAGCTTGATAATGACAACACACAACTATATGACTGGTTTATGTATTTACATTTTTTTTTTTTGAGACAGAGTCTTACTCTGTCACCCAGGCTGGAATATAGGGGCATGATCAAGGCTCACTGTAGCCTTGAACTCCCAGGCTCAAGCAATCCTCCTGCCTCAGTCCCCCAAGTAGCTGGGACTACATGTGTGCATCACCACACCCAGCTAATTTTTGTATTTTTTTTGTAAAGATGAGGCTTTGCCATGTTGTCCAGGCTGGTCTCGAACTCCTGAACTCAAGCCATCCACCCAACTCAGTCTCCTATAGTGCTGGGATTATAGGCGTGAGCCACTGTGCCCAGACTTTGCTATACTTTTTATTATTTTTTAGCGTGTACTCCTACTTATGAAAAAAATTAACCGTAAAACAGCCTCAGGCAGGTTCTTCAGGCAGGTCCTTCCAAAAGAAGAAGGCATTGTAATTACAGGAGATGACAGCTCCAAGCATGTTTTTGACCTAAAACTGTTCCAGAATGACAAGGTGTGGAGGTGGAAGACAGTGATATGGATGACCCTGAACCTGTGTAGGCCTAAGCGAATGTATATTTGTGCCATAATTTTCAGCAAAAATGTTTTAAAAGTACAAAAAAAATTTTAATAGAAGAAAGCTAATAGGATAAGTATATAAAGAATATGTTTTTGTACAGCTATATAACACGTTTGTGTTCTAAGCTGTTATTATTGGTCAAAAAGTTTAAAAAATTAATACATTTATAAAGTAAAAATGTTACATTAAGCTAAGGTTAATTTATTATTGAATAAAGAAAATTTTATAATAAATTTAGTCTTGCCCACATGTATGGTGTTCACATACTCTATAGCAGTATCTGATCATGTGTCAGGGCTTCGCATTCACTCACCACTCACTAACTCACTGACCCAGAGCAACTTTCAGGCCTGCAAGCTCCATTTATGGTAAATGCCCTATACAGGTCTACCATTTTAAATCTTTTATACCATATTTTTAGTGTACCTTTTCTATGTTTAGATACACAAATACTTATCATTGTGTTATAATTGCCTACAGTAACAGGCTCTATAGGCTTGTAGCCTAGGAGATATAGGCTCTATCCTGCAGTGTAGGTGTAGGCTATAGGGTTAGCACAATGAGGGAATCACCTGACGGTTTAGCATGTATTCCCATCATTAAGTGATGCATGATTGTACTTACATAAATGATGAAATCTTTGTTTTCTTTTTTTTTTTTTTGAGACGGAGTTTCACTCTTGTTACCCAGGCTGGAGTGCAATGGCGCGATCTTGGCTCACCGCAACCTCCGCCTCCTGGGTTCAGGCAATTCTCCTGCCTCAACCTCCTCAGTAGCTGGGATTACAGGCACGCGCCACCATGCCCAGCTAATGTTTTTGTATTTTTAGTAGAGACGGGGTTTCACTGTGTTGACCAGGATGGTCTCGATCTCTTGACCTCGTGATCCACCCACCTCGGCCTCCCAAAGTGCTGGGATTACAGGCTTGAGCCACCGCGCCCGGCAATGATGAAATCTTATTGAAAACAATTTGGAATTACCATGGCCATTTGTAGAATGTTCTAGATAAACAAGACTGTTCATCTAAGAAGTATAATTAAAAATAAGGGCTCCCAAATTAGGCCCACCCGGGGATGTCTATTTTAATTATGTGCAGAAGCGTCCAAAAAGATTTTTTAATTGCCTTTTTAGAAAGACTCCTTACCAAGGGAAAAGGAAAAGCTTAAGTAGCTAATTGATAAAAACATTGGGATCTGCTAACCTTTTCAACTAGCTACCGTCCCGACTCAAAGATGAAAAGAAAGCTAGAAAAAAGTATTTATAGCAGTTAAACCCTCAGGTCACCATGTATGCTTCTCTGACCACTGATATGCCCTGGCAAGATTCTTGAGTTTAATTTTTATGATGAGTCCAGGCATAGAAAATGCTTTGTCTGGGCTGGGCACAGTGGCTCACACCTGTAATCCCAACGTTTTGGGAGGCTGAGGAGGGCAGTTCACTTGAACCCATGAGTTTGAGGCCAGCCTGGGCAACGTGGTGAAACCCTGTCTGTATTAAAAAATATATAAAAATTAGTTGGGCATAGTGGCTTGTGCCTGTAGTCCCAGCTACTTAGGAGGCTGAGGTGGAAGGATTGCTTGAGCCCTGGAGGTGGAGGTTGCAGTGAGCTGAGATTGACAGAG